CAGCTATATTTATTATTATTATTATTTTTGTCAGAGTTCTTATATTTTTAGTATTTTACATCAAATGAGTTTGACTAACAAAAAAAGTATGAATCGCTGCTTTGAGCATTAGGTGATGGTAGTGGTAATCCAAATGTAAAATGTACCATTAATTATTCAATATAAATAGATAGATAGATATCCAATATTGTCCAATGACCAATATGCTGCCCATATATAATGCATCTCTAAAAGGGGATGCTAGTAATATAAATCAGAAATTTATGATGATGTGAGTTGAGAGGATTCACATTGTTTATGCTAATATCTGAATAAATTTAATATGCTGATTATGTACAGTACATTCATTTCCCCTGAGACCACAAGGCCTGCAGTTGTGTGTGTGTGTGTGTCTGAGACATGCTTTCTGCTCCAGTGAACAGACAGTCACCCTGACTGATTCAACTAGGGTTGACTGAGCTTGTTGCATTTAAACATCTCTAAAAGTCCCTTATGAACCTTAAAGCAATGTTCCTCTGATAATATGACTGTGAGAAGGCAAATAACACAACATCGGCACATTTGAAGGTCTGAATGCATACCGAACACATTCTCCTGTCATTATGATCCCACATTGTTGCAGCGGTTCTAGACGATATATGGCATTGTTAGCACTGGAGTCACGGTGGCTGGTTTGATGGCTGCGCGCGCGCGCGCGTGTGTGTGTTTGTGTGCATCTCTATATGGCAGACTGCAGCTCATCAGTAATTGGAGAAAATAAGTCTCCCTCCATCATTTCATTCCCTCCTTTACTGATTTCTCCCCAGTTTCTCTCTCTAGGTCTCTGCCTGATAGATGTGAGTCATTGGTAATGAGCTGGCATTCTGTCATTCCCTTACTTTCCACCTAAACAGCCCCAGTCTCTCTCTTCTCTCTAAAGCTCTGGGGTGTAGAAGACTTCAAGCAGCTGGAAGCGGCAGCTCTTTCCATAAGCATTCCCTTCCTGATGCTGTATTTTTCCTTTATAGCTTTCTTCCTAAAATCATGCTTAACAGACTCTGCTGTTTTATTCAGGTTCTATTCTATATGATGAATGAAATAGCCTTTGAAAGTCGTGCCTTTAAGCGGTGGCTGGTCAAGGTTGTCTGGATCTAATGTATTAAATGAAAGAGCTGAACATGATGTGTTATACTAGCGCTCTGTTTGTCCATCAATAGTTCAGCTTTGTCATGGAATAAATTACATTTTAAAATGTTTCCTTCCAGGAGGTAGTGTCAGAAAATTTGATGAGAAAAAAAATCTATTGCACAAAAATAAAACAATGCCAATATTAAGAAATATGATGTTATATACCCCCAATTCATGCTGTGGGTTTGATGGGGTAGGTTTTTTAGTTTTTGACAGTGTAAGTAATGTTTATTTACTTATTATTTAACCTGGAAAATATGTCAGAACACCACTGCATGTCACTGTTTAAAATATATGAAAAATAGAAAACCATTTCCTTAACATTATTTCACAATATTACTGGTTTTATTGAATTTTTGATCAAATAAAGGCAGCCTTGGTTAGCACGAGACTTTCAAAAACATTAAAAAGCAGTGCATGTCACTGACTGCAGATTGGAATATGGTTTACTTAGCTAAAGCTATTTATACCTAACTATATCAGCATATATTCCAGACAGAGCCTTGTCTGCTTGTTGATTGTGAGTGTGCAGCACTCACTGAAGTTCTGTTAGATGTGAAGATGCACACACTTCATTATTTAGTATTATGCTGTTTCATTGCTATTCCTGCAGAACCACATGACTTGCTTTGCTCCTGGATTTTCTTAGACATGTTGGCCTAGTTTTGAATGCTGTGTGAATAAATGGCTAATTTAAGAGTCTGTCATATAAGGTGGTTGTCTGTTTTGAAAGGACATCGGGTTTCCATGCTTTTTTGAATGAATTGCCATGACTTCCAGTTTTTTTTAATGATGGCTAAATTCATTTTACAGAGACTGCTGCTGCCAAACATTTTTATTTGCATGTTAAATACATGTTATTTAGACATGTTAAACTTCTCAAATTTTGTAATGCCACTGGATCTGCAAGGATCTGGATCTTAACCTATGTAAAAAGGTCAGGAAGATGCAACATATCTTTAGATGAAGGGTTTTGTCTTAATGAATGTGGAAAAGAAGGGAACATGTGTCAACTTACTGAACAAATCCAGGTTTTAATTAATTTAAGAGTGACACATGACACCAAAGACAAGGGAAAATAACCAATAAACATATTCAATATAAAATAGACTGTCTGAAACTAAAGAATAAAACAGAACCAGCATCAACCATTAATAAGTTAAACACATTACATAGCACACACAATCATGTCTGTTTTGAAATTGTTTGCTTCACACAGACATCATTTAATGGGCTGTACAAAACTGATTATGCACAACGTCCAGAGACTTAAGTAACAAAAGGAAGATTGTGGAGTTTCACCACTTCAAACATATAACATATAAGAGTGCTACTAAACCAGACAACAGTAACAAATTCATATCAAGATGATGGTTTGTATGTTGACTGACTCATAAACTATAGCCATGAAAAAGCCATTTGTTATGCTACAGTGAGAAAACTTGCCCTTATTTTTCCTTTGTTTACACCCGCTTTCTCTCTCTCAACTTCTCTTGGGTGGTTTTTCCGACATGTAGTCCAGCTTATCTGACTTGTCTGTTCCTAAGCAACGGCGATCGGTATGTAGCATGAAGTGATGCAGGTCAATGTTTGACTCCTAAAGTTCCTTTCAGATGAGAATGATATATTAATGTAGTTCTGAGGTGCAGTTAAGGCAAGACCATTTTTTATGTACAGTATTTTCACTCATTCTTCAGATAGTGACGGAGTTTTCACAACATTTTGGGTTGACATTAATTAAAATAAGTAATTTAGTAATTTAAAAACGTAATTCTTTAGACAAAATTTCTGCTTAATGAGCTATTAGACCCGCAAAACAAAATCCTCAATAATGTGACGTGTAATTTTGATGCAATATTTCGATTTTCAAGAGATCACGAAATGTTTCAGGCAATGTCAACTGATAATAACTAGACAAATCGCCAAGAAAATCAGCTAAGTTCAATGAATGAGGAAAACTAAGTCATCAAACATACACAACCGTTCACAAGTTTGGGTTCTGTAAAATTTTGGTCTCTTATGGTCACCAAGGCTGCATTTATTTGATCAAAAATATTATTACAATTAAAAATCAAATCTTCAGTGTCACATGATCCTAATATGCTGATTTGATGCTTTAGAAACATTTTATTGTTATTATCAATGCTGAAGACTATTTTTGTGGAAACTATGATACGGGTTTCCAGGATTCTTTGATGATTATAAAGTTCAAAGAACAGCATTTATTTGAAATAGAAATCTTTTGTAAATGTACTGTCTTAACTGTCATTTTTGATCAGTTGAAAGCATCCTTGGTGAATAAAAATATTGATTTATTTAAAAAACAACAACTCTTAAGGCCAATTCACACTGATGCTGACAGTCGGGTTCTGTCTGCATTGGTCTGGTCTGGCTTTCGCCAATTGAACGTGTTTAATCTGAGTTTGTTTGGTCTTGGAATGTCTTGAGAAGTGACATACTTGGCCTTTAATGACCCCACATTTTTAAACGGTAGTCTATGTTATTCCCTTAAACCGTTTCTTTGATCATTTTAAATTTGATGAACTACTTGAGTAGGAACACTGATTCTGAGGTCAGGTTTTTCGTAATGCTGTCTTGTCTGACTTCTCAGTTCATTACTATTTGGCCATTTATAAGCCCAAAGTGAGGATTTAGTTGTTTTACGATTAAGCATTACACAACCAGGGGTTGTGGGATTTAAGTCAGAGATTACCAGAATGAGGTTAAAAAAATGAGAGGAGAGTCCTGTGACAGTGATCCAACTGAATACATCAGAATCGCTGAAATTACAATGCAATCTAATGCCCAACCCAGAGAATAACCAGTAGCTTCACCACATAACTCTTTACAGGCCTGTTATTGAGAATTAGGTGCTGGGGCAATTTTTAAAAAAAGTTATCTGGCGCGTTCAAATTGTTTTCTTGATTATGCAACATTGATTAGTTTTGATGAACAGCAAAGTCTCTTAGTAATCCCCCATGACCTTCCCAGTCCATCTCTAAAATTATTTCAGCGAAAGATTCTGTTTTCTAGAAAAGAATGCCTGGAACATCTGGAAGGGACCTTTGTGGAAATAACTCCTGCTCTATACATAGAAATGGCCTGGGCAATGCTGGGTTTCTCCTCATTGACTGAGATTTATGACCCATTCTATAGGGGCAGAAATCAATCAGAAGGACTACAGTAGAGAGAGAGAGAGAGAGAGAGAGAGAGAGAGAGAGGTAGAGAGAGGTAGAGAGAGAGAGAGAGAGAGAGAGAGAGAGAGAGAGAGAGAGAGAGAGAGAGAGAGAGAGAGAGAGAGAGAGAGAGAGAGAGAGAGAGAGAGAGAGAGAGAGAGAGAGAGAGAGAGAGAGAGAGAGAGAGAGAGAGAGAGAGAGAGAGAGAGACAGCATGTCCAATACATCTGGTTTGTACAAATGTGATTGGATGCTTCATCTAGCAGATTTATAACACTGTCATCCTTTTTCAGGAGGACATAAAATCTTGTTTGGCTCCTCAAACGTTTGCGTGACTTCCAACAGGATAGCTTGATATTTTGATTCTTTGTAGATCAGTGCCAGAGACTTCAGCAAGTACAAGCAATGCATAATTCTGTTTTGAAACAGCAACTAATGCCAACCTGTATTAAATCATCCTCTCACTTTCCAATCAACAATCACATCCATATTCACTAAAGTGCGTACTGTGAAACAGAAACTCATTCTCTTCCCTTAAATATTAAATTACGTTCACAGCTCAACCCGCATTCTTATACATGTATGCACACTAACAAATATGACTACCCACATAAATATTCAACAATGTGCAATATATTCTGCTTTTCCTTCTTCGTCTGATTGATTGATCATTAATACAAAATGCAGTTCATGTAAAGGGAAATCAATCGATACTTTAGCATTAGGATGTGTAACAGGCAAAAACCTTGAACGATGGCAGCAGCTCTTTGTCGTAGGGATGAGTGTGTTTGCAGGTGGGGTGTCAGAATGGAAGAAGAACAACATAAGTGTAGAGAGAGAGAGGGAGGGGTCATGAAAGGTCATGACCTCCCTTTCTCTCAAACCCCTCCTACCAACCCTCACGAAGAGCAAAAATGCGTTTCTTTTTCTGGAGCTGGGGCGTTGCGCGTGGGGCTCACATGATGGAACAGCTCTTGGTTCTCTCCTTGCTGAAGGAGGAGGTCAGGAGCTCTGCCTTGCTGGGCAGGTGAAGGAGGCGTTTGGAGAGCCGGCGGGTGGGACTTTGCTTTATGGGGGGCTGTGGTTTGTTGAGGCACGTGAGCGCCGCTGAGCGGAACACGCTGTGGATGCTCTTCTCTGATGTGAACGCAGAGCACTCCAGGTACACCTCCGCTCCTACCTGCTTCGCCAACAGGGTGCCCTACATACAGACAGAATGCAGTCAGAGATGGAAAAAGAGAGCCGAGGAGTCTAGTTTACACAGGGAGGGTTCAATTCACTGACCTGCTCATGGGAGATGGGTGTCAGTCTCTGATTGGACAGCTCCATCAGTGTGCAAACATCTGTTCGCAGGTCTGTCTTGCAGCCAACTAGGATTATTCGAGTACTGGGGCAGAAATCCATGATTTCGGCTTTCCACTGCAGGGAGAGAACTGTTAATATACTAGAGCTGGGTTTCGATTCAAATTTCAAGAATCGATTCGATTCCGATTCTCAAGATCTTGAATCGATTATCATTATTCGATTCGATCCGATCCGATCTGATCCGATTTTCGAGATTTAGAAATTAGTTTTCTTGTTTTTTTCCAGTGAATTACAGGACTGTAGTTATGCAACATATTGATACTATTAGGCTATTATAGACATTTAACTGCTTGTTTTGAACTTCATGCATGTGTATTGAATGTTAAACAAGTTCATAATGATAACAAACAAGACTGTTTATCGTGGTGATGTGTAGCCTACAGAGGCTTCGCACAGACAGTGAATGAGAGAGATCGGCAGAGCGCGTGCGGATTACCTGCGTCTGTCTTTGAAGTCATATGTATTCGTGAAAAAGGTTGCCGTGTCAAAGGAAAGCGAAATATTTGTCGTATCATCCTTTTAACGTTCACGTCACGGGTATTTACCATAAATGCGCGTCAGCAGCAGCGCTGGTCAGCATTCCACAGCGCAAGGAAGCCGCGGGGAAATAAAATCAGCGAGTCACGCATTGAATCAATGCCATTTTGGTCTCTAATAAGTGAAGCATCAGCTTCAGCGTTACCCATGCGACGCATTGCAGCTCAGCTGAGCCTTGAAAAGTGGAACTCAAAGTTAAAAAATAATTAACACCTTGTTTCATTACATCTCTTTTAATGAATCAGCTTTTTTGAACGTGTTCGTTGAATGAACGAATGACTCACTCAAAGCCCGTTGTTGTAACAGTGTGCGCGCTGAGTGAAAGCCTTTCAATGCGCATACAGGGATCTCCCAGTCGCGGCAAGTTAAAGTTCACGGGGAAAATGTAAGCCTATTATTAAATCGATCCTCAGAAATTAATATGAAAATCGATTCAGAATTGGTGAATCGATTTTTTCAACACAGCCCTATAATATACTGCAAAATCATATTCTTAATGCGTATTTTTTTTCTTGAAAAGCAACACTATGTACGAAGTAGTTCTCTTGTAGTAGTTGGCAAAAATGTTTTTGTCATTTTTTGGGTGAACTATCCCTTTAAGTTGTGTTTTGATAGGTTTAATCTAAAATAAGTGCCAGTGCAATGAGACAAAATACACACATTTTCTGAAAGGTCTTAATATTTTATGCAATGTTTATTCAAATGAATTAATCTGATTTTAACTGTAAAAAAAAAGTAACAAAATAGAATATTTTAAATTTAAGAAGTCATAAAATGTACTTCACCTTTTTCAGAGAGCTTTCGACGGTGTCAGGGCGACTTATATCGAAGCAGAGCAGAACCGCATCTGCATCACTGTAGCAGAGAGGCCTGACATTATCATAATATGGTGAACCTGCAGGAGCAACCACACACACAACAAACATCAGTAATGGAAACTTAGCATCAAATAACATTATACTGGTGAGAAAGAAACAAACGTGACTAAATATGGAATATCAAATGTTACGAAGGGGATCTGACGGTCATAGTAATGTAAATAGCAATCATATGGGAGGTCTTGTAATAGGTGTGTGTGGGCGAATCTCGGAGATTCCTTTATATTGACAGAATGAGTTGCCGAGGAGGTCTTGTCCCCCACACACAGCAAACCTCATCTCATTTCGTAGTAACTACGGCAACGGAATTGAAGGATGCACACAAAAACACTGCCACACTATAGCTCTATTTGATAGCAAATAAAGCGAGTCCATTAAATACGCATTTCACCCAATATTTATGTATTTGTGCTTTTTAGAGTATGGACTCTCAGCTCAGATGTTGGGTGTTGTGTGAGCCTCTCTGGGTCACGTACTACTGCTGTATTATGTGTAGACAGTGACTCAGCCTACTAGGTTTAGACGGAGTATATGGCTTACCAGCAGAAAGATAAGAGAGATATGACTAGACAAAACAATGAATCTACATGCAATCCTGATATCACGGTCTATGCACTCAACTAGACTATACAGCTCTCAACAGTAAGGTCGTTGTAGCGAATTAATTCCAGTTTAACTGCTTTAAATGTCACCATGGTCAAATGAATTAGTTTGCAAACAGAGATGAGGTTTGTTTCAACTAAAGTATCATTAAAAAGAGGTTGACAATCATAAACCATGTAGTTACCATGTACCATCTTTTTCCAGTAAAAGACTATTGATCATGAATTTGTCACTATTAATTATATTATATTATTAATTGATGATTTTTATATATTTTAAATCAATTATTATACATTTCTGTAAAGAAAAGTTGTTTAATGAAAATTGTTTTATTTACAGCTGTCATTGTAAATAATATATTATGCTTTTAATTTTAATTAAATTATTTATACATTTAAAACCAATTACATATTTTTTTAATATCTTTTTTCTCTCTCGTTTTTTCGTTGAAAAATTATGATTTTACAACTATCACTATGAATTGTTGTATTATAGTTATACTTTGAAATAGCTAATTAACTTATAACACATAATTCATTGGTTTTAAATATATACATATCTTTTTGTAAATATTTTTTTTAATGAAATATATAAATATATGTTATTCTGACAAAAATATATAGTTTATTTGGGTTGCAGATCTTCTCTACGAGGGGTCATGGATCTATTTAGACATTAACCTCAATGGTAGGACATCTTCCTGTATCCGTTCTAGGAGGCAATTGCTCTTTACAGCTGACTGTTTGAAAAACAAATTAAAACACTGTATATTCCTCTTGAATCAAATTTCCAATGATAAGAGCTACAGAAGTGGCCCACACCAGACCAGAGAGCAGCCTCTCATGCCCGTCACCTCTTTGATCTGGAGAGTGTGTGAAGAGATGCCTGAAGCAGCGAGAGCCAGATGAGCAAATTCAATTAAAGCTTCTGTAATTAGTCGTGATTAGAGTGTGTTTGTGCATGTATGCTGATGAGTGTTTGCGTGTGGGTGCACAAGCATCTACCGCTCTGCCAATGTTCCTCCTGTGCGTCGCCACCTAACGAGGCTGTGTGCACAATTAACAAAGCCTAACTGCCGTAATGAGGGAATAGATGGGGGCTGTTTGATTGTCTTCTCAAGCTCTGATCTTATATGCAAGATTCTGAGTCAGTTCTTGAACATGATAAAATGTATGTTCCTCCACACAGTTACTCTTTTCTCTTCTGATCTGGATTCAGTGTCTGGGGTTACACTAAAAAAAATGGCTTTTTGATTTTACTAAAAAAAAATTAAGGCAAGTGGTTACACTAAATTAATTTATCTTCATTTTAAACATTTTGATTTGAACTTAAATCATGTTTTTTAAGTTATTTCAGTTATATATATAATATATATTGAGTAGTTTCCAATATATATTGAGTAGTTTCCAATATATTCAGTCTGCGATTGAGTGAATGGAAAAGACTTGTTTGTATTTGACATTCATATTGTACAATTGAAAGACTGTCTGTAACTAGCACAGCACAAGTAAAAAGATACTTGTTACTCCACTGGCATTAGTAAAGCTATTGCTCATTGGACATAGCATCATGCATCATAGTCTTTGTACATGCAGCCATCCACAACATAACCAGAGACTCTACTCTTCAGCACAATGGTAACCATAAAACCTCTTTTAAATGTGAAACATAACTAAACATTAAATACTCACACAGGTCTTTCCCTTCACTCAAAAACACATAAAATAACACTTCATTTCAACATTTACTCTCCTGATCCAGCCATATGCAAAGCATGCTGGGAACTAAAAATCCTCTGTCTATTTTCAGTTAATACAACAAAAATCATTCATGTAATCCCAACAAAAAATCTGAAATTAAATTATAAATATATTTAAGTAGATTGACCACAATGAAATTAAGTTAGGACAAAATGTGTAGCAACTGTGTTGCTTTAGCTCATTTTAATGAAGTAATTTGAACAAGCAGCAAAAATATATATATTTTTTCAGTGTAGTTTGTTTGACAGTTTTTCCAGTATTGTTTCACTGTTCCAGGTCAATATGACAGGGAAATTCCATCTGAGTGTTTTTAACATTCCATAATAAGATGAAATGTATAGCAGGAAATACCTTGAGACAGGAAGTCCTCCTTGCCTTGCACAACCACGTTTTCTCTCTCTCTCTCTCTCTCTCTCTCTCTCTCTCTCTCTCTCTCTCTCTCTCTCTCTCTCTCTCTCTCTCTCTCTCTCTCTCTCTCTCTCTCTCTCTCTCCATATATATATACATATATATATATATATATATATATATATAAAGTATTACTAGTACTAGTATTAATGACAACAACAATTAAATGATTAAGATATATAATTATATAAATATATATCATGTTTATTATCAAAGTACCACTACTACTACTAATAAACTATTATTTACATTTTAATAATTTAAATTGTTTTATTTTAAAAAGCTAAATTTAAACAATAATTATTATTTAGTTCTGTATATAAAAATAATTTGTTTTTTCCCAGCTGCTAAGTCCGTCTATTTCTAATGTGAACAAATGAAAAAATTCATACCAATTTTGAAACAAAAGCTGAAATGTTCTATTTTGCTAGCAAAATGTCCCAGTTGCCACAGGTGGGAAAAAAAAAAACTTAGTTGTCTCACATTGGAAGATTCTGTATAGCAAACAACAAAATTAGGGGAAAAAAAAACTAATAATCTCCCTAACCAGGCACCTATTATAGAAAAGCAATATCCCATCCACTCATCCTAAAAGTAGGCACTCAGTCAAGCAGTCAGGCATGACAATTAACAGATTCAGATCCATCAGGCATCACTGACTGATACGTTACACAACATGACCCTAAAGAACTCCGCTTTTCACTCGGCACCCAATATGACAGCATGGGATTTAAAAATATTAAACCTATACACTTGCAAAGATTAATCTCAGTTGAAATATCAGTTATAAAATAAGGACATTTGGGGAGGGCATGACATAATATCCAAAACAATATCCAGTGATACTCGAGCAGATAGTAGAGTAGAAAGATAATGATATATGAAGTAAAGATGGGACTAAAAGAGAAGTTTAGAGCCAGATAGACGGTTGGGTACATAATTGGTATGATAACAGTAATATTAAATTTGAGGGAAGAAACCTAAATCCTATTTAAAGAGATAGTTCACAGTTCACACTAGTACCCCCCAAAAAACACTAATTCACCCCCATAATGTTGTTTTGGACCCCATTGACTTTCATTGTTTCAACTGTTTTTGTTTAAAGGTTCTTCAGAATATATATATATTTTGTTCTGCTGAAGAAAGAAAGTCATACAGGTTTGAAACCATATGACGGCGAGTAAATGATGACAGTTTTCTTTTTGAGGGGAACTATCTCTTTAAGAGATGTCTTTTTTTTTTCACTTAAAGCTCTGTGAATCCAAACACAGACTAAAGAAATTAGACTATCAGAAGAGCATTCCATGTCTTTTTACTAGATAAGAGCTATAGCTATCAGTCATTGGACCACGGCGTTCTACTACCAGCCTAATCTTAATCAGATACACAGGCAAACACACAGACTAAACATTCCCTGACCAAATAACTTGATACTATATTGAATCACAGACACTGAAACAGGAGCTGATCTTTGTAATCCCCTTCAGAGAGACTGCATGTCACAGGGTTTTGTCATGTTTTGGAATGTCTCACTGTGTAGTCTTATACACAGCCCTGGTTATTTTAATAACCAATCAGAGATCTTGTCTGATCCAGAGGCAGACAGAAGGTGAAGACATCACACTGCAGCGTCTCACGCCTGAGGACAGGTCTCAGGTGTTGCAGATGCCAGATACTCTCACGCACTTACTGCAGCTTCACATATGTCTGCTTGCATTCCCTGACTCAGGGCTCAGGTGTTGATGGTGTGTCTTTCCTGTAACGTCTGACTGACCTACTAACTAGCCCAAGAACAGTCAACACAAGAGCCGGGAATGCACACAAACAAATGCATGTCGGATGGATGGATGGAAAATGGATGATTTACGGAAAGTCATTTTGTAAAGTGAAAGTTTGTTGTAATGCTATCCAACAAAACATAATAAAATCAAATCTATTCTAAATCTACTTTAAAATATAAACAAGCATTTTGTCTAACTAAAAAGTCATTAACAAGATAAAGAAGTTAATAATGCAACATATGATGCCTTGAATTAAAAGTTCAATTTATAGTCAATCAGGGACCTGGGTTACACTTTTCTTCCATTTCATAGTGAAGCGGTTAATGGTTGTTTTATTCATGTTAATCTTATCCAGACAGTTTATGTAAATGGCGTCCAAAACAACACTGACATTTTTTTCCCTTGTATTTCTTGTATCCGTTTTTCAGAATAGCATCTCTTGTGTTCCACAGAAGGTTTGGAACGAGTAAATGATTACATAGTTTTCAATTTAGGGTCCATTTAATGATATTTCTCAAAAGTGCTGTCTCATGTGTAAAACTGTATTAATTAGCTAAAATGATTGAGTGCAAATGTGTTCATCAGTTTAAATGCTGTGTTATGTGCTATAGTCGGTCTTTCTCTCTCACCTGACGTGTCCCATAAACTGAGCTCCACGCGCTGCTCCTCTAAATCCAGTCCAGCTGTGTAGTTCTCAAACACTGTTGGGACGTAAGTCTGTGAGGTTGGGAACGAAATAAAACGTTACATAATGACTTAATCATTTAAAGTTTGTATAAAAACAATTTGTTCATGTCGCATAAAAGGCCATAGTATATATCCTAGGTTATGGTTTGTTGCAAATGTGTTGATCCCCCCCCCACGCGTCAACACGTGCACAGCACACAACTCACACGAGAAAGATACATGGAGAAACTTATCACCTTGATGAATGAACATCCAGGATAAGCGTAATATATTTCGCAGTATATTGTTGCATAATGTCATAAGCAAGCATCCAAGTGCATTACTATAGAAAATACATGAAGGAAGGAATACATGATAGAGAGTAGGACATACCTCAGGATAACAGTCTTTGGCCAAGACTTGCAACATTGCAGTTTTCCCGCACTGCACGTCTCCTACTAAAACCAGTTTACAACGCATTACCAAAGGCTGACTGATTCTTCTCTCCTTCATTGTAAATAAGACGGTGCTGTGCGCGATGGCTCTCTCGTATGACGGCCCTGGGCAGTTTGTTCAGACCGCATTGGGGTTTGGACTAAATCACCACGAAAGAGAGAAATACGGCACTGCGGCAATTTATACAGCTCTGTTATCCAATCAGCGGCGCGCTCTCCTGCTCGCGCCCGAGTTCCACTGCCCCCGAAAGGCGCCCACCCAGCTGGAGTCTGCACATTGATTTAGCCGAGATACGTACTTCTAGCAACGGTAAGGTTACAAAATATGAAAGGGGAGGGTTTTAGGAAAGTTCACGGGGAAGCCGCGAAAACGATAATAGACGTGAGATAAAATAAAAGTTGAGAAATTCTCTAAAATATCTCTAAAAGAGAGTGGTAAAATAATCTCGACCTCTTTACGTGTTATACATGCAGCATAGGCCTATCTTAATGTAATAGCTAGCCTACTATAAATACAAAGTGCTCAAAATAATTGTGCATGTAGCTCATTAATAATAACATTATGTAATATTAGGCTAATAAAACCCAGTCAGCTATATTATGAAAAATAACTATTGTAAACTTTTCAGGTTCGTGAACATTTTTCAACACAAGCACATTTTGGCCTTTTGATGTTGCATTTTTGGGTTAGGGGATTGGGTCAGTTGTAACTTCTTTCACATTTTGTTGTAAATGCATTAACAAAAAAAGCTAAATCACAATTTTATGTCATAAAAAGTAAAATTTTTATGTTCATTCACCACGCTATCTAGCTTGCTGACGATTCTGGAGTTTCAGTCAAATACAGACTATTTTCGCTGTCTATAAAACATACAATATGCTTCAAGTGGTTATTCATATATGTACATGTGCACAACTTTAACATCAAGGCCATGTTAAATAAAGATAATAAAGAATAGCAGTCACAGCAGCAATTGTTCTCTTCTCCGCCATGTTTAAAGTTTATGGGGCCGCCCAACTCTGAAACACAGGTATCAAAATTATCTCAGAGATTCTCAGTAAATACGACTTGAGGGGGCGTTCATGTCCAATTTCCTACTAGGAAACTCATATAATTCCAATAGCACGTTAAGGCTGCAAAATTTACAGCTGTTTCGCAGAGAAAGATTTAAAAGTGAGTGACATCACTGTAGCTTGTTGCTGATTGGATCAATGTTACAACTGACCACACACTCCTTAGTGTGAACTGTGAAGGGCCCATATTCACCTCCTCCGACTCAATGACAGAAACAGGTGGATAAACGACCACTCTTCTGTCAACTTTATTGACCCTGAGTTGTGTAAATGTCCGATAACCTCTGAGGCATTATTGACTGTGTGTTGAGTAATCATTTGACTCTTTCCTGGTATTTCCTCATATGTTTGTTTGGCTCTGACAAATGAGAGCGTAATCGAACGATTGCTAGTCCGCTCACGCAATAAATCTATAAACCGATCACATTGTCTGTGTGTTGTGGATGCGTCTGACTGTAATTAAAGTCTGCCCCCTGCACATAGATGCTAATTACATGATGCGAAGATTGTAACCCGCTATAATGCTATATTTGGTTCACGCAGGGCAGCGTTTCAGAGAATATGTTCAAACAGATTGTTCCATTTATTTTGATACCCTTTGTGCTAAAGCCCCTAGGAGTGAAATGATTGTGTAACTATCTGTGGTTCCTTTGTTAGCTAAACTCTCTCGCTCTCTTGGTCTGTCTCTGCTTATAAAACAAATCATATATTTTAGACTAACATACAAGGGTACAGACAGTCATAAAAGCTAATACAGGAAACAAACCTAGGCCTAGGGGAGTTATGTGTTGACAATGACCTTTTAGAAGTAGTATAGTGTTCTAGTTTAAAAGTACAGACTTACACTTTATCTTCCCATCATGATTTTTCTATAAATGTGATTTCTGAATGTGTTCCACTCTGCAAAAGCACAGTATGGCAGCGTGTGTATGTTTACAGGAGAGTGTGGTGGCCCGGGCCAGACAGAGACAGATGGTTTGGTCTTCCCCAAACTGAGGCAGGAAACACAGCAATGACATCTCAGCTGGGGAGAAGCATCGAGCATTTCCTGTAAGCTGGAGGAAAATGACTGTTATTACACAGTCTCTAATTTACAGACAAGACTGTAAATAAGGTCATTAAAAGGCCGTGGTCAGTATTTCAAGTTCCGGTTGTCCATTTCACTTTATTGTCATTCTTCTCACGTAATGCCTACGCGATTTTCTTTTTCTCTCTGTTTCTCTCCCCATCTCTTACTCTTTGGCAGTCAGGTTGAATTGTAATGTGTTGCATAATATTCCCAGGTCCTTGAATGTGGGCAAATTCTCTCGCCCTGGGAGAGGTACATTGTCACGGAAGAAAATGCTTTCCACCAGGGCTATGAAGAAAAAAATTGGGAGAGGAGAGAATGTAGAACAAGTTTTTTGACAAGCGTGTGATACAAGAGTTTTGTGCTCAGATTGATTATTAAAATTTTGTAGCAGCATCAGTGTAGTAAAAGCATACTCATTTATAATGTAATATATGCAGTGGTGTCTGTGTTTGTGCTGCTGCATTCTGGTTAGATAACAGGTCAAAGGCCATGATATCATCATCACTTGCTTCACTGACCCACTGCACTGCTTCTGATGCGCTGCATTTGTAGTAGGTTTGGAGTACCGTGTAGGAGTAAAGTATACTGTATGCACTCATACTATGATGTGTAGACATCTCTGAAAGAGCTGTGAAGGGACAAACAAGACTGTACTGTGAACACATTTTTAATGTTGAATATTTCAAAAATAATTGTAATTATTAATATTGTCATATTAAAGTGATATTAAAAATAGAGATCTGTAATTATGCAATATTCTGAATCCAGAAATTATTACTAAATCCAAATGATTACTTTAACTCTTACAGTGGGGGAAATAATGATTTGATCCTCTGCTGATTTTGTAAGTTCGCTCACCTGAGACCCACATCTCTCTAGGCTAGGGCGGGGTGAGTTGGTACCTGCTTATGTCACTCAGTACCACAACATCCAATAGGAAAATTCAACTGCAGTAGCCACCGTTCAACCTGAAGAGGGCAGCACTCGAACGTTTTTACACTATACACTCACCAAAAGGATTATTAGGAACACCATACTAATACTGTGTTTGACCCCCTTTCGCCTTCAGAACTGCCTTAATTCTACGTGGCATTGATTCAACAAGGTGCTGAAAGCATTCTTTAGAAATGTTGGCCCATATTGATAGGATAGCATCTTGCAGTTGATGGAGATTTGTGGGATGCACATCCAGGGCACGAAGCTCCCGTTCCACCACATCCCAAAGATGCTCTATTGGGTTGAGATCTGGTGACTGTGGGGGCCATTTTAGTACAGTGAACTCATTGTTATGTTCAAGAAACCAATTTGAAATGATTCGAGCTTTGTGACATGGTGCATTATCCTGCTGGAAGTAGCCATCAGAGGATGGGTACATGGTGGCCATAAAGGGATGGACATGGTCAGAAACAATGCTCAGGTAGGCCGTGGCATTTAAACGATGCCCAGTTGGCACTAAGGGGCCTAAAGTGTGCCAAGAAAACATCCCACACACCATTACACCACCACCACCAGCCTGCACAGTGGTAACAAGGCATGATGGATCCATGTTCTCATTCTGTTTACGCCAAATTCTGACTCTACCATCTGAATGTCTGAACAGAAATCGAGACTCATCAGACCAGGCAACATTTTTCCAGTCTTCAACTGTCCAATTTTGGTGAGCTCTTGCAAATTGTAGCCTCTTTTTCCTATTTGTAGTGGAGATGAGTGGTACCCGGTGGGGTCTTCTGCTGTTGTAGCCCATCCGCCTCAAGGTTGTGCGCGTTGTGGCTTCACAAATGCTTTGCTGCATACCTCGGTTGTAACGAGTGGTTATTTCAGTCAAAGTTGCTCTTCTATCAGCTTGAATCAGTCGGCCCATTCTCTTCTGACCTCTAGCATCAACAATGCATTTTCGCCCACAGGACTGCCGCATACTGGATGTTTTTCCCTTTTCACACCATTCTTTATAAACCCTAGAAATGGTTGTGCGTGAAAATCCCAGTAACTGAGCAGATTGTGAAATACTCAGACCGGCCCGTCTGGCACCAACAACCATGCCACGCTCAAAATTGCTTAAATCACCTTTCTTTCCCATTCTGACATTCAGTTTGGAATTCAGGAGATTGTCTTGACCAGGACCACACCCCTAAATGCATTGAAGCAACTGCCATGTGATTGGTTGATTAGATAATTGCATTAATGGGAAATTGAACAGGTGTTCCTAATAATCCTTTAGGTGAGTGTATATTGTAGAATTAAAACACTATACCCAAATGTCAAAAAATGCACTCGAATCAATGAACAGCATTAATATAGCCCCAGTCTTACAGATCATTTACTAAAAAAAGTTGTTTTAGGGTTTAGTTACCCTTTTAGGTTTCTTGGCTGTCGCTTTGCAGTTTCAGCTCCCTCCACAGATTTTCTATAGGATTAAGGTCTTGATACTGGCTAGGCCACTCCAAGACCTTAATGTGCTTCTTCTTGAGCCACTCCTTTGTTGCCTTGGCGGTATGTTTTGGGTCATTGTCATGCTGAAAGACCCATCCACGACCCATCTTCAGTGTTCTGGCTGAAGGAAGGAGGTTCTCGTCCAAGATTTTACGCTGCCCCGTCCATCAGCCCCTCAAAACGTGAAGGAGGCCTGTACCCTTAGCAGAGAAACAGCCCCAGAGTATAATGTTTCCACCTCCGTGCTTGACTGTAGGGATGGTGTTCTTTGGATCATAGTCAGCATTTCTCTTCCTCCAAACACGACGAGTTTAGTTGATGCCAAAGAGCTCAATTTTGGTCTCATCTGACCACAGCACTTTCTCCCAAGCCTTCTCTGAATCATTAGATGTTCATTGGCAAACCTCAGACGGGCTTCTACATGTGCCTTCTTGAGCAGGGGGACCTTGCGGGTGCTGCAGGATTTCAATCCATTCCGGCGTAGTGTTACCAGTGGTTTGCTTAGTGACTGTGGTCCCAAAGTTTCTGCCTTGATATCATTAACAAGCTCATCCCATGTAGTTCTGGGCTGATCCCTCACCTTTCTCATAATCATCCTTACCTCATGAGGCCAGATCTTGCATGGAGCTCCAAAACGAGGGCAATTGATGGTTATTTTGTGTTTCTTC